TATGTGGCATCTTATGCTACATATATGAAAGCAGACTCGAAGTAATAACTAATATTTATTATACAACTCAAACGATCGAACTTCAGTTACAGAATGATTATAATCCTAACAAAATCTTATTAGATCGTGTGCAGATGATTAACTGCTGTGTGGTCGAAATGATAGATATATATAGAGTTGTCACAGTGTCAATTATCAGTATAACAGTTTAGAATTAATAGGGGATGTATTTGTTTATACTAATTATAACTGTCACTACACCTAAATAATTATTTCAATTGTATCATATCGTTATGTGATGATTTATCGGAATAAATATTGTTTAAAATGAAATTGATAGAATATCTGATCGTCTTCAACTTCATTTTAGATAATAATGGAATTTGTGTTAAACTTTTTGTAAGAGTCATTTATTTTGATTTCTTTACCAAACACTCGTTTCCAGGATGACCTCATCTGTGTCATTTAGAAACACATTCTTCTGTTTTTCCCTTCAGGATGTAGTTAGATGAAATTAAAACAATCTAGAATTTAAAATTGATACTAGAAGTCAATAGAACATTACTTAAGAAACAAAATAAGCTAAAAGTATTGAAAGGTTATGGAGCTCTTTTTTGAGATATTTGATTTTAAAAAATGGCGGGAAAAGCCTGACTCAGACTTTTACCTTAAATTTAGCATTGGCATTATATGGGTCTCAAATCGTAAGAGAAAATAAATAGAATCTGCTTAAATCGTTGTTATTACCTTTTTATGACCCATTGAAGTCCTCTATGAAAAGAAAAGTGGGTGATCTGGGGCAAAATATTTTACCCTGTATCGTAGGAAAAAAAACCAAGGAATCCTAACTTTTGACAAAAATTCCTAAACCTGACCTGAGTACATCCTAAAAAAACAAATAATTATTTAAGCACAGGTAACAAACATACTTAAAGTAATTTATGAATACATCTATGTTTCGTAAGTCCCTCCTTTAATATACCGGCTGCTAGAAGCTTTTTTATTTAAAGCTATTGAAATGCATCAATGACCCTTATATAAAGTTTGAAGTGTATCATTAGTAGTCATTTAAACTTTAAGTAGAGGGAAGTATGTTTTATGAAGTGAAATATTTGTTGTAAAAAACCATCACTGAAGGATAAAAGTTCTTTAAAGGGAAATTGGGTAAGTTTAAAATACAAAATAATACAATTTTTTTTAACATTTAGCTTGAATATGTTTTCTCGCTAGTATATTCCCTGTCTCAACTAGGTCAATATGCGAAATTCAAGACTTTTTATAAATATATTATGATAAATATACGAAGTGCCCTGCCTTTAATATTATAGACTAATATTATTCCTAAGCATTTGTATTTAAAAACTTTGACATAATTATGAAATAAACCCCTTCTATCGGCCACGAATTGAGAATGGGATGATAATTCAGACATACTAACACCTTTTGTGCCAAATATTGGTATTACAACACGTGACATGCTATATTATTATTATCTCAATTGTAATGCCGCTACCAATGAACAGTCAGTTAACTAGGTAATATTTTCGTTATAGATTCATTGCTATGCATGCCTTTCATAATTTCATCGTTTTTCATTGCCCATGGATATATTTTTATATTAATTTTACATGCCTTTGTTGAGCATAGCAATATGGATTGTCCTGTTTACAATAGCTTTTTATTTGATTTAAGCATTTCATACAATTTCTCAACAAATCCTACAACGAAGGTTAAATACACTTCAAATTCGGACCATATCTCATTACAATGGAGTTTTAAAGTAAACTAATTTTCATTTTCAATTTGTTTGCATTAATAGAATATTTATGAATTTCAACAAGTCAATATGTTAAGAAATTATATAGATTAAACTCATATTTTCTAGAGATTATTGATGTACATTGGACCGCTGACTAGCACATTGAACATGAAAGTCCTGTGGACTGTTTTTGTGTTAATCGCCCCCTGTTAATACATCGATTACCTCTAGAAAAAAGTGTCAAATCGTATTATGTATTTCTGAGAGTAGCATATAAAACACTGATTTAATAATTTCACTATTTTCAACAATGGCTAGCAATAAATGAAAAAAAAAAACCAAACAAATATGACAAAAATGAAATCTGATGATTTTCTTCGGTGTAATTGTAAAGAGGAAGACTTCGACTTTGTTTACAATATCTGCTATAATTTATAATAAGTTTTAAAGTATTCACTTTCAAATCTGTATTTTATAAAGTATGAAGAGACGTGTTAAAATGACACTTTAACATTATTGAATTGAATTTTGTGTTTTGTTGTTAAATGAACAAACAAACGAGCCAGATACACGGATTTTACGACTACAAAGAAATCATGAGTAACTATAATGCCGGTCTTATACTAATGTATTTATAAAGTAAATGAATATAAGAAAACGGAAACACGTTAGTATTTAATAAGAAACTAATTCAGAATCGAGGTAGTGTATATTTAGTTATTGAACTGATAAAACTTACCAACAATCTTATGCATTATTAGGTCAAATAGTTTAGGACATACTAAGGATTTGACGTCGATATGTTCTATTGCAGTATATAATCCCTTTAATAGTCAATGGAACTTCTGGCGTTCTTATGTTTGGACTGGAAATTAAATACAAATTACTGGATGGTAATGTTAAGCCTGATAACTCGCCGATTTCCTTTTTTACCATATCTTTTTAACTATTTCTTTCAAAATTTAAATTACATACATGACGATTTTGTTAATTTTAAACGAAAGTCTGTAATGTTAGGACCATAGAACTTGCATATCCGAACATATCTTCCAAAAATATTATTGCAGGTAGCTCGCAGTATACTCGGAGCTTGCCCCTAGACGCCTACTGACAGAAACAAAATTAACATGTTCCTACTTGAAGGCTGCCCGTTTTGCAACAGCGGGAAAATAAAGATAAATATAATTCAAAAAAATTTCATAATATATCAAATAGATAACTATGTTTATGCATGTAAAAAAATAGAGCTGTCAACAATTTTACTAGAGATGCAACTTTCAGGATATGGTCAGTTAAGACACAACCTTGAAGATGATGAAATATTTAAAAAATATAATTTAATCACGAAATATTAAATTATCTGTTTCACAATCCTATTAACATGTAGAATATGATTTGAGATATTTTCAAATGCCTTTTTTTTCTTTTTTTTTTAAACTGTCCTTTTAAGGAATTTTACAGTCGTGGTACGCAATTTGAATATTATTTTCGTTTGATAACGAACATATAAGCGAAACCTGTACTATCTTAGATTTTTCTTTTATGCATTACTTTAAAAATATGAAAGGAAAAACTATTGTAAAAAAAAAGGTGTGAAAAGAGTGTGATTTGAGTAGGTGAAATATAAATGTATTCGATTATTGGTCGGCCATTTTGGAAAAATTCAAAATAGAAGGGAACACAGGATTACCTAAGTTTTTTGTTCAAGTAACTAGGTCGTTTATATTGTACTTCACACGTGAGTTCAAGTGTGCACAAGCAAAATCCCAATTTACGTTGTTCCAAATATCTATTAAATGGACCCTTACTATAACCCATGGGCAACTAAGACAAAAAGAACATTTTACATGCGTAATGACAGACGTTAAACGAACGCAAAATTTGTGCTTAACATTAGATATATAACACAGATTAGGAAACATATGACAGATTGAGTACTTTAAATGTATGAAAAAAGCATGTTCATGGATGTATTTTATTCACAAGACTTTTATATATACTTTTTTGTCTACATTACTAGGTTAAACGTAAACACTGGTGATCCTTATTTACCTATAATGTTTGGATTTGGCTTTGAACTTGCTTTCTTTACATTGTGTTTTTTTTGTGTTTTTGCTAGATTTTTTTTGTGCTTTGTATTGATGTGATAGGTAAAGCCCTTTTCGCCCGATCTTTTAAAGGTTGTTCTTATCTTGTGCTATTACACCACTGTCCCCACATTCTGTATGGCCCAAGTCAGGAGCATGTTATGCAGTGGTTGTCGTTTGTTGCTGTATATAATATTTGTTTTTGGTTTATTCTTTTATGTATAAAAAAGGCATGCGCATTTTTGAATATTAGATTTCAACTGACCTTTAAAATGTTACTTGTATTATAACATTGTACAAGCATTGACCAATATATATAAAAATAAGAAAATGTGGTATGATTGCCAATGAGACAACTCTCCACAAGAGACCAAATGACACAGAAATTAACAATTATAGGTCACCGTACGGCCTTCAACAATATGCAAAGCCCATACCGCATAGTCAGCTATAAAAGGCCCAGAAATGACAAATGTACAACAATTCAAACGAGAAAACTAACGACCGATGTTATGTACCAAATAATGAACGAAAAAACAAATATGTAACACAGCAACAGACGACAACCACTGAATTACATGCTTCTGACTTGGGACAAGCACACACAGAATGTGGTGGGGTTAAACTAGTTTGTTGGCCCCTACCCTAAACTGGGACAGTGGTGTAACAGCACAACATAAGAACAAACTATGCAAAACAATAAACGAAAAACAAATATGAAAAACAGCAAAAAACGACAATCACTAAATTACAGGCTCCTGACTTAGGACAGGCATATATAGAATGTGGCGAGGTTAAACTAGTTTGTTGGCACCAAACCCTCCCCCTAACCTGGGACAGATGTTCGATATCGATGTCTATTTATTCAATCCAGCGCTTGTTTGTGCACCATATTACTCAATAACAAATCATCAATGAATATAATAATCTTTTTAAAACAAGATTTGACCACGGTTCTTTTAATGAGAAAATCATTTGTGATATTTTGAAAGACATAGATCTATTTTGCCCTTTGATCAGTTATGCACAGGTAACGAAAATACTTGAAGTTATTTATGAATGCCTCTACGCAAATCCGTTTCGTTAGTCCCGCCTATCACATACCGCATACTATAAACTGAATTTCTTTTGAAACTATTGAAGTGAATCCATGACTATTATACAATGTGTTGAGTGTTTCATTAGTAGTCATTTAAACTTTTAGTAGAGAAAAGTATGCTTTATGGAGTGAAATATTTGTTATAAAAAAAGCATCACTGAAGGAGAGAATTTCTTTATACGGACATTTGGTAAGTTTAAGATACAACTTTATACTATGTGTTTTTTACCATTTAGCTTCAACATGTTCAATATGTTTTCTCGCTAGTATATCCCCTGTCTGAATTTGGTCAATATGCGCAATTTCAAGGCGTTGTTTTTTCACATATTTTAGTTAATGTATGGAGTGCCCTTTGTGTTTCAATATCACTCAATTTGTCAAACCCTAAGTACCACTAGTAGCACGATTTCAGTCTGAAACGGTCATTTTGGTCTGATCATATCTTAATCGACTGGATTTACCGCTAGAGAAAAACGTCAAGACTTTTAAGAACTTTTCAGACGCCGTTCCGATCGATAGTCGCATCAGGTAAATCAGTCCGTTAAGGCATGTCAAGATAAACAAGACTGAATCTTCTAGCGAGCTGTTAAGATCCGTTACGACTGATTCAGTCGAAATCAGACCAGATCTCAAAATTAACGTTCAAAATTGTCAGACCATGTTAAGATCCGTTTAGTATGTTGGTATGATACTACGAGTTACGCCCCTTCTGCTTGATAATGCATTTTAGATTAATATATATATGTATTAGAATTTAAAATGTATCTCTCGAATAAATAAAAAAAAAATAATTAAAGATTAAATTCTCTGTTGATTCTTTATTTCTGTTGTTGTTTTGTTGAGGAACTAAAGTAATAAATTATTCGTCTACATATGTTGCTTATTTTTTTAATAAATGTTAGTTTAGTTTATTTATTTATATACTTAAATGCAAGGACGTATGTTATTTGTATACTCACATAAATGTTTGCTATACATTTAACCTTAAAATGTTGTGAACCCGGTGTGAAAATGTTTTTCGTATTTGAAAATCAGTAACGGCAAATCTTAAACGTAACCTAAAAAAAACAAGGAGAAGTGGTATAATTGCCAATGAGACAATCCACTGAAACGAAGCAGAGGCAAATTAACACTTGCGTATTATTTTTATGTCAGATGCTTTAATTCGTTTTCTGTTGATATGTGCTAGTTTACTATTACCGTTGTTGCTGATTTTATTTTTATTTCCATGCGAGTTACTCTATTAAACTTTGAAAAGCTTCTATTACCATATCTTTGTAGTACAATATATTATCAAAGAATAGTATATTTAAATATACAATTCCTTGGTATTATTAAACAATGATTTACTTTACACAGTGGTGCGTCTAAACACCACCAAGGTCGCCATAGTACATGAAGCTCCTGATACTGTATTCAGTCTGTGTCGAGACAGTGTTAAAACTATATATAAATTACCACCATATAAAGATTTTGATTAAGAAAATGTATCCTACTAATTATTTTCCTACATATGCATATATAGTAGTTATGGCATACATTTGAAATTTTCCGTTTTAGTTATAATGATTGAGTTCAATGGCACGTGCTAGTAATCAACCGGGTCAACAGGTAACAAAATCAATGATCCATAACGTATGAAAGTACATGACTATTTTACAATATTACACTCAAAGGTGCCGTAAGGCTAAAGGTTAATAAAGAATTAATGAATTTATGTATACGTATTAGTATTTAAGCTGTTGATGTTTGACCGTCATTCTTAATATATGCTATGTTATATATTCAATAAAATAATGAATCTGAATCTATTATAGCTTAGTATGTACATGTAGTTTAAGATTCTTACAATATTATATATAGTGGCTTCTTTCTAAACACTATATCAAAAGATAATAAAAAATATGTGAGCGCTGCATCGAAAACCATTTAAAAAAAAACATGTACAGTTCGGAAGTTTGTTTTAAATTAGTAGTCAACAGAAACTTTTCGCTTCTTTACTTATAGAGTTCTGAGAGTATTCCTTTAGATTGTGTCAGTTATGTAAAGTGGTGTGTATTTGTATTCTATTTACTTAGCCAAATTGTATCACTATATATACATTTTGTATTTCATAATTATTCATATATATACTATAAGTTGTGTATTGTGGGTTTACGGGATGAGTTCATTTTTTTAAATGAAAGTAAGGTATTGTCATTATACTATGAGTGCATTTCTTTCTAACCAAAATTTTGTAAACGTTGTGTGGCGTTTGTTATCGTTTGCTAAACGCTACAAAAGAAGAAACAAATGCATCGTTTAATCCGTGTTTTCTGACCCTGTTTTGAACATTCAATAATGCATGCACGTGTTGTTGGTAAACAGATGTATCCCGGCCCATAAGTGAAATCAAATTCGAACCATTCTAAAATATTACAAGAAAGGTAAAATATAGGGATACTTGATGAGGATAGGCCTAGGTCTACATGACCATAACCGAAACATCTCTTTGTAATACTGGTAATAAAAACACATACCAGATATGAATTTATATTCTTAAAATACACACATAAGTCTCATACTACAAGCATGCAAGTATGAGTTATGAAAAATGTATTCCACAAGAAAAAATATGTATCATTCACAGAGTTATATCAGCTCTAAATTACTCTAAATATATGCACATAGAAAATGGATGAATTGCGAAGGATTATAATAAGATATACTGGATTGGTCCTGGACCCGATTAATTTTAATATATTAAAGGTTGAAGTTAGAAACAAATGTAGCGTTTGTACTAACAAACGACAAACTGCAGACGCATTTTTAGCGAGTGCATAGTTTGTCAAAGTTTATGTAAACTTTACAAACGTATGTTTGAAACAAATGATCAAAACATGTGCGCGCTTAGTCGTTTGCATCGTTTGTGCTAGAAAGAAATGCACTCTTTGACATGGAACCCACCAGTGTAGTTTTCATGTAGTATAATATTTATAAGTAACTTAAATGTAATTAATATGAATTTTGAATACTAGTAAATCGAAACATAACGGGAGCTAGACGCATGGATCCCCCGGACCTATCAGTTCTTTTCTCTGTTTTTAAATTTTTTAATGTTTATTTTGTTTTTATATTTCGATTTATTTTGTACTTTTATATAATTTACGGTAACTGTAGTGTATACGTGCTGCCAGACGAAAGATCTATATGTGTCCTCTAGATGTTTTTTTTTGTGGATTTGTTGCTTTGTCATTGACGTTTAACACACAACTTTTATTTAGTGTGATCTATGTAGAAATTCAAACGTACTTAAGAATGAAGGATGCAAATCCAGGCTTTATATAAAGATGGTCATTTAAGAGCCACACAATTAAAAGAATACGAAAAATATAAGTGTTGGAATAACATAAATATACACTATATGTACATTGTCGGAAAATATAATTTTTATTTAACGAACTTCGGTAACTGGACAAAAAGAGAGGCGCACCAATCTTTTCTCCTTTTGTGTAGCGAGTACAAAATGAACTGATCTGAGTTATTTCGTATTGCATTTCTTTTAAATAATAAAATAGCACGTGCTCTATCTTAAAAAAATGCTCACAGTGCAGTGTACTACTTTTCAGACAAATTATATCAAATTATAGAGCAGTATAACAGCTCGAACTCAAAATGTGAACCATTCTATGTTGCGGGTTGGGGTCTGCAGTTTAGTTTGAAAGCTTCAGTCATACAAGTGTTTTACCCTTTTTATTTGGACTAAATCACTACTTTACCTTAAAATTCATCATCTAAATTTTCAAACATGTACTACTTTTTATTTGATGCATAAAATATAAAGAAAGAAATTTGGAAGATTATATAACCAGCATTATACACTAACAACTACCAAAGGCTGATAAGTATGCCATCGAATCATTTGTCACACACACATACACACACATAATATTCACACTGCTGTTCTCTCAATATGGAAGCGAAGTAACAGTATAGATAGATATATGATGATGTGGTATGAGAGCCAATAAGACAACTCTCCATCCAAGTCACAATTTGTAAAAGTAAACCATTATAGGTGAAAAAAAAAAAGTCAAAACTATTTAGTTGTACAATAATTGGCTAATTGCAGGGCTAATTCATAAATTTGATCCAAGTTTTTAAAATCTCAGGTTTTTGATGTCATCGATTTCATCGTTCCCGGTGTAAAACAGTCCCTGACTACATGTACCAACGTGGACTTATGTTACGAACTAAGACCACTAACACACAGTTTTTACAACCGGAGCCCATGTCATTACTCATAAATGTCATACAGGCAGTTTTGTATTATCTGTCTTTTGTTTACCCTGACTCATTTACTGACAGAAAGAGCCTAAATTCTAATCTTACCAAAAAATACATTGTGTACAATTATTTGTCACGTATTCGTCAAACTTTTTCTATTTATTTGATTATTTGAATTAACCTCACAACGCACGTGTCAATAAATACAAAAGGTGAATTATAGTTATAAACAGACGTAATGGTTATATACAAGTAATTGTCATTATTTGTCTGGAATACACATACTTGTCATACTTATCCCCATATTAAACTGCTTTTCCCCCAAGGGCTAATTTCATACGGCATGGAGATTACTAGAATTCGCTTGCTTGGTTGGGCGTATTGCGTTTCTGCTAATTTTTCGAAGTTCCAATACTAAGTTTCCGAAAACTTAAAGTATACGTTTCCAGAATTTGTATTTATTACTTTTCCGGAAATTTACCTGGAATTAAATCATAAATATTTGAATATATGTTAGATAATTTTTTTATTTTACACGTTTATACAAAAATGTTTCTGATATTAAATCTACAATATATAAGATATTACCAGTTGACTACGACTACAAGGACAAAGATTCGGATTTTGGAAAAAAATGGCTGACACATTTCTTTGGTTTGGCTTACTTGCCAAACAATAATATTGAAGAATGATTTGTAGAATAAATAGCAGACGCTCCATCTGACGATAGATGCATGAAGTTTGCAGATTACATATTGGAATTTTATATAGATGGCAATTCGAGATTTCCAACAACCAATGGTTCCGAGTATTTTAATTTCCACTTATTCGAGCAGTTTTACGCTAGCGATCCTAACCTTTCAGTCTTTGTCGATGTGCTATCAAAACTGCAAACATCAACATCATTGTAAAGATGAGAACTAT